AAGCACTGTCCACAACATTGCCGGTGGCAGCAAGAGGAAGGTCCAGGCAAGGTCGCGAGTCATGCGACGTCGCGTAGGCCGGTGAACCACCTCCATGACGCTGCAGTGAAACAAATCATAAACGCAGGCACATTCTCTCCATCAAAAAGCGTTACATGGCAGCACTATTTGCAATCGCTGATGCTGACCAGGCCGCTCCCGGTGTTGAGGCGTCACGCGAGAGCTTTAAGCGTGGGAAGCGTTTTAGTTTTCACCTCCGCTCCTCGGCCACGGCGCTCCTTGTCTTTGGCCGCGACAGCCAATCGCTGAGCATGTTCCACTTCCCGGGATGCATGACAAAATTACGTCCCAGACCTGAAGCTTCTCAGTAGAAGCACCAGCTTTGCTGCCAACATGTTCAGGCCAGGGGAGGCTGAAGCTGACTTGTGAAGGGTTGCCAAGGCTACAGCGGAGTCTGATCGGACACAAACTTAAGGAAAGCTTTGCGATGCGCCCTGCCCACCACCTCAGCGCGATGTAGACTGCGAGTGTTTCCAAGCAGGATTCTGCTCGTCGGGGCCAAAGGGGAAGTTGACGAGCGTGGCGTCCGATTCGTCTAACGGAGTCTAACGCATGTTCATACGCATGGACGGCCGTCCAAGCTGACCTTGAAGGAGCTTGTCTGAGAAGCAGGCCTCCGCACCCTTAAGGTGAAGCATCGGTGAGGATCATGAGCGTCTCCTCGACCTTCCACGAAGACTTTTGGGTGCAGCAGCTCAGCGAGCCAGTGGCTCACAGTCTCAAAATGCTTCACTAGAACAAGGTCGTCGCGTGGGCGAGCGTGTGCAAATTGGCACTCCTGGCTGCCTCCTCCCCGGACTTGACCTCCGCACCATGTGAAGACATTGCCTTACACACTATTGCAACAGCCCAACGAACGAGCTCTGTTGCAGAGGTTGCATGATCACGTGAGCTTTCCCGCCGCAAGGATCTGAGCCCTGACAAGGCGATCGTGCCGGCTTTCTTGCAGGAGTCCAATATCTCCAAGAGTTCGGCCCAAAGTTTGTCAGGAACTCCTCCCAGCCAGAGCGCTCCTTCCTTTCATCTCACATGTCACATGGAAGGCCACGCCGATCCACACAAGGCTCTCGCACCCTTTGGCCAGAACTCCCCGTGCTCCGAGAGGCAAAGCAGCGCCAAACTGAGATTTCGCACACGTCTGAGAAGTAACATGGGTGGGTCATCTATGTAGGCCAAACTGGAACGCCGCCTCCTGAAGAGGCCCTGTTTTAACCTTGGCAGAACTGCTGCCGGTCGGTGAGAGGCACTGCTGTAGCTCCTTGCGTGCCACTGGGAATTGTGTGTAAGCATCAGCAAAGTTGGCTACTGCGAGCTCAGCACCCCAACGAGAAGTTTCAACCTTCTGGGCCCGGCACCACTTTCTGGGCTGCGGTTCCATGGCCCTCATGGTGGACGGCACGGCGTAGATATCTTACGGTCTTTGAAGAGTGATTCGCGCCGCACACTGTGCTCCATGGCTGGCGCTGCTCCTAAGCGGGTCTACTACTATCCGTCTCTTCTTCACCCCTCCGAATGCTCCTTCACAATGAGCCCCAGTTTGGACATGATGGGTCTTTGAAAGCACCGCTCCGCGTCCTTCACGGAAATTCGCGTGACGAACCCCTTCTCCTCGATCAGGCGGTCGACCTCGATGTCCGAATCTGTTTGGTCACCGACAAAAGACTCATAATCAGTGACTTCGGCGTAGACCTGTGCGATGGATTGCTCGATCGGTGTGTCTTCGTCTTCCTTCTTCGGGAAGATTTTGCAGACGTCGATGCTGAGATTTGCGCAGAGGGGCGCCCCACTTTGCCGCCAGTGGGTCACGAAGACGTCGGGGTCTCCCGCCTTGGTCAGCCAAGCCTCGACCGTCAATGGGGCTGGAATATTCCAACACTCCTTTTTGAGCTGGAACTTGGGCTCCGGAGCAACACTTGTAAAGAAACATGCCGCCACAAAATACCGACAGAAAATTACAGGCCCACGTTTGTGGGGTTCGTAAAAAAACATAGAACTGAAGTGTTTTATAGTTGTATATCTTTTTCACAAAAGTGTAAGGTTTACCTTTTCAAATCTCCTATGGAAGGTGGGGGAAGCTTAGTCGCAATCGTGATACTTTACCGAGCATGCGCCAGAACATAGGAACAATTGGAAAGAGGCTCTGGGGAGGCTCAGAGGAAGCTCCCCAAGGCAAGAGGAGGAGAAGAAAAGAGATGGGCCTGGGGGGGGAAGGGGCAAAAACAACAATATCTTGGCCAATTGTTTTTGCTCCCCCTCTCTTCAAACTCTCCGGAGCCTCTCATGCTTTTGGGCTTCTCCGGACGGATGGGGAGGGGTCCCCGAAGATGCTCCGAAGGCAGCGTGAGGAACCTGGGCGCGAATTTCCTTCCAGAGCTTCCCACCTTTTGACATAACATGACTTCACCTAGTCCCCTTTTTACTTCTTGAGACAAGCAAATTGAATAAACATATCGTTCCTTGAGCCAACAAATTCTCAGGCTTTTCGTGCTAAACGGAATATGAAATTTGCAATATCAAACGGCATGCAAAAAAACACGCGCCAACGAAATGAACGCTCACACTTTTAAAGCACATGAGAAACGACACATGATGATGCATGGGCATGAGCAGATGACAGATATGTTCATGCATACATATATACATATATAACTCCAGTAATTACAGGGCTATCAGCCTTTGTGGAATAGGATATTATCTTATTCTGTATGATGATAATACAGATGAGCCCGAAAAAATCTCTTGAACTCACTCATCGCCTGCTTGCCAGGCTCATCTTGACAAGCATTTGTGGTTCTGTTGTGGGGGTTTCGAACATTAAGGATCCTATTACTTTGCGTGTCCATGGCGCCCCCCCCTTCTAGTACAGACACACATTAATACATAGACCACGACGCTCATAACGAAAGCACTAATAATATTTCTCTCATGGTGCCTACTACCGCTAATGTTTTAGCCAGAAAGTATAGAATAATCAACCAGGGCACCCCAAGAATATGTGAAGGGTAATAGTGAGATATACCTTCATCCATCACCATGGGGTAGCTAAGCTAATTTCCATACCAAAACAACGGGATTTTATATGGGAATTCGAGGAAGTTCCATGCAAATAGCAAATAATAGAGATGAATATATTCAAGGCAAACTGCCATGAAAGTGATGGGCGCATACTCCAAGTTGCAAGGGCATCTTATGCAGTCGACAAGATTGCCATGGTAGCCTCAAGCTGCACACACGCATAAATACATAGACCAGGGCACTCATACTTCATTAAAAAAAGATCATTGCTGTAATGTTGGGGACCAGTGATGTTGTGCGGAGCCTTCTGAAGTAGGCCAGCCAGAAAACACAGGATTATCCACCAACGCACCTCCGAAACATGTGAAGGGTATTCGTGGATATATAACTCTATCCATCACTGTGAGTTAGCCAAGCTAATTTCCATGCAACATGCCATGGTTTTGCGTGGGAATCTCCATGCAGGTGGCAGAAAATGGCAATGAATACTCTCAGGAAAAATGCCATGAAGGTCATGGGTTCATACTCCAATATGCAAGAGCATCTCATGCAGTCGACAAGATTCCGATGATGGTCTCTGCTGGTGTTTTTGTACGGATATATTCTAGCGGAAGGAGGAATATTTGTCAGGTATGCTATATGTATACATATATATATATATGGACACCCCGTTGGTTATCAAGAAGATTGCAAGGGAGAATGCAGCCAAAGGGCTGCATTTGGAAAGAAAGCCAAGTAGAACGGTTTGTATATGAGCCTAGGAGACCTGTTTTTAGAACATGCACAATCCAATCATGAACCTAGTATAACATTCTTGCAGGATCTATATGGAAATGCGTTTGTTTGCAAGATAGATCACCAGCTACCCAAAGAGTGGAAGTTTTCCCAGATAAATGTATGTAATCCAAGCTTTGAGCAAAAGAACTTCAAAGAATTGGAAAGTGGATAGCATGGGAGTCCCCTTCTTCATCGGTGGAGATGGTCACCAAATGGTAGGAATTGCCATAGAATAGAATCCAATGTGCATGACGGGAAGTATCAAAGGGACTCTTAATTATCGCACTTCCAACTACAGGATGCAAGAGAAGCTTAATACAGATGAACCTGATGAAGGTCAGCGGCGCAAGGTTCCGCGCGTATGACAATTTTGGGGAAGGCGAGCATACCTTCAACTAAAGAGCCGTGTTGTCATTGATAGTCTTTAGGAAGACATCGGCAGATACAAGATACCGACCACGCGCATCTCTACATGCATCGTACCCTTTTGGATGTATAAATCAATAAACGTACAAGGCTTTTGTGGTGTGGTTGTTCAAACTTCTAAGGCGCTACTAATGGACCAGATTTCTGTACGAGAAATGATGAAAAACAAAAACATCGTTTTTGCGTGAGGAAAATGGCCCATCAGCATCTCAGCAACCTAGTGGAATGCGCATTTATTGCGATTGAGTCGCCGATTGGTCGGTTGATTGGGCAGTTTCTCCGAAGTTTAACTGTGGTGCGCATGGTGCGGGGCCTATGACCACTGTTTTGCCAGAAGCTCCCGCCTGTGCAGCGGAGGGAGCTAAGGACTCCAAAAAACACCTGAAGGCGGTGATCTCTGCAGGTTTAGCCAGGTCTGTCTCAGCGGCATACTCTGCATGGTCTTGCCACGCACCCATTGCATCTGCCATCCTCTCGGGGCCTCGTGATGCATGATGTGCTTCTGAGCCGGTGGCAACATCAGAGCGAGAAGGCAAAAGAGAAGCGCATGTTCTTGAACTCTAACTCAAGCAGCAGAGTCCGAGATTCCAAAATGCACCTCGATTTTTCCTAGCCGGGTTTCATTGGCAGAAGGGCAGCGTAGCTGCATCTTTCACAATTGCAAAGAGATAATGCACCACAGCGCCATGGTGCTCTGGGGAAGCGCAAGCGCTCCAGCATGCTCAAGCTACATCGAAAGCACTGGACGTCATCAGGCGGAATTCATCGTCGTCCTCCACGCTTGCTGATGCTGCACGTGTGAACCCTACACTTGCCTTCATACACAACAGCCTCGTGGACTGCCGAAACCATGCGGAAGAAGTTGTTAAACTTCTGGTCGTGGTAAGGTGTGCCTGACTGTCCGCACAGCTCCCCTTCATACTACCCTTGCAAATGTCGCGGCCAAGGGCCTTCTGAAAAGAAATCGACGGCATCGAAGAATTCCTGCTCCGCTTGTTGCGGATCCTTCCTCCAAGCGCTGGCAATGCATTTCGTCCCGGGAGACTCCACACAGCATGCAGCAAGCACCCAGCCTCCGCAGCAGACACTGTGGGGCGCTCGAGGCATCGAACCTGCAGGATTGCTCTGGTGTAGCCAGAGCATGGAGTCCCGACAAGCACTGCCGACCTCGCTTTCAGCTTGTCAGCTGTGACTGCGGCCCCGCCGCCGAGCGCCTGTGGCTTTGGAGGAACACAGTTCAAAGTATTGTCCATGCTGATTGTATCAGGCGTCGCTCAACATTTTCCTTCGCTCCATCAAGCCTCCGTCTGTCTTGTTGCAGGCTGGCTTGCATACATGAAACTTCCCCCTCGATTGGAGTAGCGAGTCCATTGCTCTGAGGGGAGGGCTTGAATTCGGACGCGGGCCCCTGAAACTACCGGGGGGAGTGGTGTGCGATGAAGTCATGCGGGGACTGGCGAAACATTCTTGGCCGTGGCACGGCCGCTGCTGACGTCCACCATAAACTGCACGGTGTCCCCTACGCTGGCTGAGCCATTGAGCTCGTTCTTGTGGAGGAAGACTTCTGACATGAAGATGGGCTTGGCAGCCGGCGAATCGATGAAGCCCCAGCCCTGTGAAAGGAAGACACTTTGATGAGTTTGGAGGATGCCCTGAACCGTCCGGCCTTGGCCTCATTGAAGGCCTTGACTGTGCCAGTGAAGGGTGCGGCTGCGATAGCCTTGGCTTCATCAAAGGCCTCCACAGAAAGGATTGAGATCCACGTCAATGTACAACTCAGCGCATGATTATGGATGTTTCAGGCGCCTGGATGTTGACCGCATGGGCACCCTTTGGCCCTGGCGACACGTGGAAGGAGACGGCCTCATGAGAGCACTGGCATGGAAGCAGGGCCTGAGCTGCTGAAATACAAAAAACACACTGCGGTTGCATGCGGTTGGATGCGGTTGTAGGGCCTGCCCTGCCGAGACTTTTGCCTCCTCGATGCTAGTCCTGAGCGCGCCGACAGCTTTCGGCTTCTGCATGTGCCTTGCTTGCTCTTTGTCTCTGCCCCGGCCTGTGCGCGAAGAGGTCCTTGCCGTAGAGCTTCGTCATGGCTTCACTGGTTATGTGACCAAAGCCTTTCTCGTTGATTGCCTTCACAGTACCGAAAAATACGTCGGTCTCCTTCGGCTCACGGCCATAGCCCTTTCCGAAGCCTGGACGGCCGGTGAATACTCGCCCTTCAAACACGCACAGCCTTTCAAGGCCTCCGTAACCAAACATCATCGGAGGGAAGAAGCCCTGGAAAAAGCCCTTGCCATAGCCTTTGCCATACCACCTGCCACCAGGGGGGTCCTGCGGTCCAAGATGGCAGCTGCTCAAGCTTTTGCACAACTCGTGCAACACATCGGGAAGTCCAGGACTCGGACATCGGAGGCAATGGGCCCGCGCTCGCCCACCTAGACGACAAGAACAATCAGCCGATATCTGCCAGCTGATTTGATCCCGCCTTGGCTTTGAATTGCACGTGGAGGCCTGGCTCTGGCCAAGCATCGCCGAACTCGCTCCTGCATTTGCACTCGACACGTCCATGAGGTGGCTGTGCTATGCCATGCTGTGCTGGGCTACGATACCTTCGCATGCCTTCGTGGCAGTTGGGTGGACCGGGCCTGATGAAGAAGCAGTCCTTGCCGAAGAGGCTCTCCGTCGCAGGGCTGGACAAGAAACCAAAGCCTCAGCAAAGCCCGCAGGTCTTCTGCCTGCTGCGTCCCACAACTGGCAAACAGAGTGCTTGTGGCGTTCCAAGGCGCCCTTCTGCGGGTTGAAGCTCCGGACCTCCCCAAAGAAGAGCTGGCCCGCGGAGTCGTCACCTTTGGCCTCTCCACCCTCGAGTACTGTTACGTCCGTGGCTCGCGCTCCTTTCTCGCTCTGTGCCACGGAGAAGCGCACTTTATCCCCTTTAGAAACACCGTAGCCACCTAAGTCGCTCTTCAGCAAGAACACGTCGGAGCCGAATTGCTTGTGTGTCTCCTCGCACTCGATAAAGCCCCAGCCCTGGCTCAAGGCTACAGAAAGCAGGAAGGTGAAAGATGGTGAAAGTAGATGCAGGACAACAATGCGCATATCCTGGCGGCCTTGTGCGGATTGAAGGATCGCACGATGCCTGTGTAGTTCGACATGGCCGAGACCCAGAACCGCGCATTACCGACTTGAGGCGGCAGTGGCAGCAGACACTGCATGACCCAGCACTGCTCTCTGCATGTCCAGCAATCTGAGTTCTGCAGACGAACTAGAAGAAGACTTACACTGAGACGCCCAGCCTGATAGAGCGCTTCAACGGCCGGCACGCGCTCCTGCTGGCCATGATGGGATCAAGGCACGGGGCAAGTCTTCGCTGAGCTTGTCTTCAACCTTCAAGCGCATCTCATCGAATCTCTTTCTCTCTCCCCTTTCCTGCGGCAGGTCGCCACGCAGCAGTTCCAGGCACCTCACCGGCTTAAACATCGGATAACTCTTTTATTCACAGCAGGAGGGCTGCGGTTGTGCTCCAAGCCAGCCACTGCAGGTAGTCCTGGCAGCATTTGGCAAGGGAGTGATCCACAGCTGTGCTCAAAAGGCTGAGAACGGCACCATGGCCGCGCCCTTCTTCTTCTGGGACAGCTCCTCGCAGAGCACTTGAACGCATCAAGCAGTTGGATGTGATGCTTCCACCACTCCTGGAAGAGCAGAGTTTGATCCTCTGGTGACAGGCCAAGGCCCAGAACGCGGTTGAGGCCTCTAGAACCAGGGATGTTAAAAATGTAGACCCCCAGTTGATGAGCACCCGGCGCTGCCAGTCCAATCGCATGATTGTCCCGTTCCTGTCATGGATCTAAACTCATCCTTCACTAGCGTCCACCGAGATACCCACCCCTGCATGGGGATTCAAACATTCGGGCTGCCAGGAGACCAGTTCGAACATCAGAACAAGCCAGGGACGCCAGACAAGTACTTAATGCTCGGCTTAGTCAGCTAGTCCGACAGTCAGACACTCGCTCACTCACTCACTCACTCACTCACTCAATGTGCCAAAAGGTGCTTGGACAGGACCCACGCCAGCAAGACGCTCGCGTGCGCTGTCTTTGAGACAGTGGGACACTACAGCGGTGTAGATACGTAGCTGACTCCGTGAACTGCCCGCTAAGTGGATGCAATGCAAAAAAATGCTTGGACAGGTAAGAGCTGTGACATGAGGCCAAAACAACAATTCTTGTACAACTCTGCCGTGGCACAACTGGGCTTCAAAGGTCGGTTGTTTTGTTCCCCTTTCCTTTCTGCCCCAGCGAGCTCTCGTGGCTGCACCACAGAGAGCCACACAAGACTTGAGCGCAACTACATCCCACAATTGCGAGAAGAGCAAATTGAGCAAGCACATGGCATAGAATCGTACGCCGTACGCTACATGCGTCTGCATCTCCAGCCTCCGGTAGTCCGCATTTTGGAAGCGCTGCACCACTGCCACCCATCCTAAGGACATTGGTTCCAGGGCTATGAGCTTCGTCCTTTATGCTGTACCGTGCACATGGAACACGTGTGTGACATTGCCCGGCCGCGCAGACCGCGGAGGGCGATGCTTCTTCGTAGCCTGCAGCCAGGAACAGCTGCCAATGGTATGGAGCCAACAAATCCATGACGTGCCTGTCAAGTACCTCCGTGAGGGAACTCCCTCGCTCATCGAAAACCTGCAGCTCCAGGTTTTCGATCCTTTGCTCCAGTTTTTCCAGCAGCTCAGGGGCCCACAATGGAAGACTTGGTGATGGCTGAGGCCCTGGTCACGGGGGTTGTTGGGTGTGAACCCCGTAGCATCAAGTAAGGAGCAGGCTGTGGCCCGCGGCCAAAGCGCCGGTGATCCTTTTTGCTAGTTGCAGAATGTTGCAAACAAAGCCCAGAGTTGAAACAGCCGTTTGCCTGCTTTGGGCCCCTAGGACTCTCGACAGCATAGGCAGATGGCCCAGCATGTGGCGGGGGCCTTGGCTCAAAAAGATCACCAGCATCACTACAAATGTTTTTGTTGGGGGTCGGCTTGCGCTCAGCCATGGGGGAGGCCGGTGTCTCCAGCGCTGCTCGTGAGCGCCTCTTCGCATCGCACTGGGTGACAGCAAGAGTAGACTCCGGAGCAGCCTTGGGGATTCCCCACCACCCTCAGCCCAGGCCTCCCGCACCTTGCAGCATCACTCTCCAAATCTCTATTCGCACAATCCTGTCGCAATGGGCCTTTGGAACGTCCCAAACGCGCTGCCTGGGCATGGTCTTCATTCCATGGGAACGAAAGTGAGGGGTCTCATGCTGCTTGGCCACACGATGAGGTCGAACAAGGAATCGTTCTCTACCTGCGACATTCTGCGGCTTCAGGCAGCACAAGCTGACAGCCCTGCACCCTTGAAGCACTGTTATTCGAATCCGGCCGTGGAAGAGACCACGCCGTAGTACGCCAAGAAGTCAGCGAAGGAGACCATGCCTTCCGGCTCTAAAGACCGCCCAAATAGGCAAGCGGGAGGGAAGGCAGCAAGCACCGCACCATTCTCACAGCCGCCCAGCACATGAGCCAGCTGACTGAAGGTGTCCAGGAACCTCAACTTGCAGAATCGCTTAGAATTGTTCATCGCCTCAGTGGTTTGCTTCTGGTCCCTCTTTGGCCGGAACTCTGCAAGCACGTAGCCAGGATCAAGCTGCCCACGGACCACCAGCGGGTGAGCCTTGTTGCTCCATCTGTGCTATCATGAGTTCCTCAGCCCTTTAATGTTTTTTATCCTCACAAGCCTGGGCCACGAAGCGCTCTTTCAGCGTAGCGGGGCTGACCTGAGCAACTCCAACTCGGGATTTCGATTCTGACGCTGGGTATGATGCTTCGTGCAACATGAAACGCTGAGGAAAACATCAGGCTGCCAACGGCAGTCTGCAGCGCTGACAGGTGGCTGCTTGAAAAGAGTAGAGCTTGAACAAAGCCCCTCAGACAGTGGCCAGAGAGCCAGGATCCTGTGGGTCGCCTGCGTACACAACACCCTCATGACAAACATGTGCGAAGTGCTCTTCAACGACTATTGCTCTTCCAGCCTCCAAGTGCCGCAAAGGCCCGCTCCACAAGAGACCGTCGTGCAGGGGAAATCTCCTCAAGCCCCCCCTTGCTCAATACGGTTTCTACCCTCGGTCCGCCCTTGCAAGTCCCCGTGGAGCAGCTTGAAGAAGGCTGGCAGTTGGATCTTACCTTTGGTCTCTGCGCAGGCCTCAAAGATCGAGACCTGCCACTGTGGCGTGTTGTGTCAACTTGACAAGTCCACATGCAGTCCACAGGCCTCCTCGGCCTCCCTGAAGCTGAGGCCTGCCTTTCGGCACGCCTGTCGAAATTCATACCTGGCACACACAGCCGTGCACGGCCCTATAAAACCCCTGCAGCTCTGCATAATGGCTCTCAAGGAATCAGCGCAACGACTGATGTAATGGGACGTGGTTTCTTCGTGTGTATATATATATGAGCAGCGGACGAATTTGTTGTCTGGCCTTTGGTCAAAATTCCCATACTCGTGCTGCAATCTCGTTCCATCTTGTGCTACATGTTACATGTTCCGGAGCATGTTGGGGGGGACCATCTCGTTCCCATCAGGCTTGAGATCAACTGACCAAATCTACTACTACCTCGTTTTACAGCCCTTGAGTCGGGCCTTGAATCTTGTTTTCCAACAAATTTGCAGTCAGACACAAAAACACTGATCTCTTTATTTGGGGGGGACCATCTCGTTTTACAGGTTAAGCGAATGATTTCGCGGAATTCTGACCGACGCTAGACATGGTTCCAGAGACGGAAATTTAGTCCGTCGCTCATATGGAGCACGTGTCCAGCTGGTCATCAATATCATCGTCTGCGGAATAGAAATGCCTTTGGAACGAGGTCAACTCTGCGACGTCCGCACTAGAACTAGACACGCTGATGAGCTCGAGGCTGGACAACGTCCACGGCAGCCCGCAATCCGCGCCTGCAGCTCGAGTCGTAGAGCTTGCACATGATTCAAACGTTCAAACCTGTCGTTTTTGCTTCTCGTTGCGAGAAACTCAGGTTAGCATCATTGCAAAGCCTGCTCGCTGAGGAGCAACTCCCTGCAGCGGTACGACTGAGGCTTTCACTGCAGCAGTTGCATCTGTTTTTTGATTGAAGTTTTCAACTTTCGGAATTGGTGACGCCCCACCAGTAACCAGCCGCACTCTGTACACATCGATCTTCAATGCATTTCAATGCGTTTATAATAAACAGCTTGGCTGCTTGTTCGCCTGTCCACGTTGAACCTTGAGAGAAACATTGCACTTGGCAGCTGGTCGGGAGATGCTGCTGTTTGGTGAGATTCCATGTATTGCATTCTCAAGACGGTTTGTGTGCCCTACACGTCGCTGCAATGCCTGGCAATCTGGGAACGGCTGCGCTGCATCACCTGTTGAAATTGCATTGTCCGAAATGTTCCGGAATGCTGAGCTGCCAAGGAGAGGCTCTGGCATCCTCAATCTTCGTGACCATCTCAACTTTGTGATGTGTCACGGTGGTCGGCAGCGTGTTCGTCTGGCCAGTGGACGTCACAATGCAGTACGGCAAAACACACTTTGAAATCGCGCAGTTCCGCGCCTGCCAGTGGTGCAAACCAGTGCGGACCTTGGCCGGTGCACCTGCAGCTGGCCTGGCCAGGGCCGCTCGGCCCTCAACCTGAGCACGAAGTTGTTCGAACACGTCAAAATTTCTTGGTCCTTGCGACAGAAGTGTCAGCATGTTGCTTTTGAGCTTCCTCTCGCATGCAGATCAATTGCACCCTTGATGAATCAAGTAAACGCGAGGAGCCAAGGAGTAAGTCGTGGGTCCATGACCATCAATAGTTGCACAAAGGTCTCTCAAGTTACCAAACGTATTCACTTGTAAGCCTGGCAGCCTCATGAGTCTCACCATGTTCAGCATACGGGCTGCTTGCAGCACACGCGCTGAAAGAAGTGTTTCCTAATAGGGACAAGTAGCATGATCATTTTCAAAAGATTTGTACATTCCGCGGTGGCCTTCAAGTACTGGTCGCCAAGTAAGGCAGGTCAGGGAAGAGCTGCATGCAGCAAATGCACAATCGAAGAATTTCAACGGGAGCACAAGATTCAAACGGGCCGAGACGCTGCAAGTGGGGGGCAAAACTAGTAGGCATTCCGCAAGTGAGATGTGAGGACCCTCGCGCGAGGGAGCGATTGCAACTTTCAAATTGGTTTTCGATCACCTGATTTGAAGACCCTTTGCAAAACGTGAACTAATGTAACTTCTTGCTTCGTTTGGGTCGCATTTGCCAGGCTTTGCGTTTGGTTCCAGAATTACTACGGTTCGGGTTCGAGAACATCCCTGACAGGCGGTCCGTCTGTTCCTCCAACACAGGCAAGTCAGTTGGCGCTTATGCATAGTGGCGTGGTTGAGCGCGGCGCAGCTCCCAAAACATGAACAACGATGAGAAGCTGGCGTTTGGTTCCAGAAACGGAGCAGGTTGGGTTCGAAAAAATCCCTGACAGGCAGTGTGTGTGTGTGTGTGCGTGTGTGTGTGTGTGTGTGTGTGTACCGTTCTAGGCCATGAACGCAGGGGGTCACTCCCAACCTCATGCAGTTGCTGCTCTACATGTGATTGACATGT